GGGTGGGCGGGAGGGCGCGACTGTTGTCCGCACAATATCTCAAGTATTTCTAACAGATTTATTTCAAACTTCATGGGAAGTTTCAATGCCATTATAGCTCGGCCAAGCTCGATAACCACAATTGTCAGACCGTAATTAAAGGAGTAATGGCCCTTTATTCAATTGCCAAAACAGTGTTTGCTTGATGTCTCCAGAAGTTTTCAATGCATAAACTTAAAACTTCATAGGAAGGTTTATTACCATGATACCTTGGACTGGTACTATAACAACAATTATTGGACCGTAATTTACGGAATTATGGCCCTTTATTCAATTGCCAAAAAGTTTTCAACGGATTAACTTCAAACTTCATATGATTATTCATTGCCATGAGTTATGGCGTATTATGTTCTGCTATCGCAGGACCCTTGTTTTTGTTTTTTTGACAGTAGCATGTCTTAAAGACACTGTCATAGATCCACAAATGACACATTTTGTATATGAGTGTATGTTTGGATGATAGAATGTCATGCACTGAAATCTGACCATAAACAGTCAATGAAATTTGTCCGAAGGTTGGGGATTTTGGATTGCTTGCGATGATTTACCTTGCTAAAAGTTAATCACAAAACTAAATGAAAAATTTATAATCACTAAGTTGTTTTTATCTACATACTACAATTATGCTTGCATATTATTTGTACTATAATGCTTACATATTATTTGTACTATTATTTCTTTCAGAATTTGAGGTGGTTGTCCCTATTGATCAGGAATTTAACAAAAATTTGGAAAATTCATCATCAGAGGAATACCTGTCCTTTTCCCAAAACATCACAAATGGGGTATGTAGCTCTAATACTTTGTTCATATATTTTTTCACACAAGGAAACAGTTAACATGTTTATTATTTGAATCAAAACATATATATAATTATGTGCAAGCAAAGAACAAATTATTAAACATATTTCGAATCAGGGGCTTGTCTCTCTAGTTCAGTTTGATTTTATTTTGTTTTAAGTCCTATTAACGGATAAGGTCATTTAAGGAAGTGCCTCTATGTAGGTTGTGTAAGCATGCATGTGTGTATGTGTGCCGGAGACGGGATATGATGGTGTACTTGCCTGCTCATAATAGCGCAGATCTGATGCCGACTTTATAGTGCTATTTCATTAAAATACTAAGCCAAAGGCACGCACCCATGAGCACAGCATCCCATCCAGTCACATTATACTAACAACGGGTGAACCAGTCGTTGCCATTACCCTAAATGCTGGTTTTAAAGTCTTTGTGGCTGATTTTTTTTTACAAAGTTTTAGACATTTAAAGTATTCTCGGGGAGGTTCTCATACTTGACAACTCTACCTATTTAGGAGGGAGACTCCCGATTTTGGACCCTTAAATTTAGTATTTTCATCCAGTGAAATTGCTAAACTGTTCCTTGCTTCTAAGATCTATTGATTTTATCTGAAAGAACAACTCAAAATATGTCTTTTTCAAGGTTATTATGTCTCTAGGGGGTAGCTGGTAATACACAAATTAAGTTTTTGAGCATGCAGAATCTCCCCCATGGAAATTTTCATATTATGATGTCATCAACATTTGAAGTTAAAAGAAAAGTAAATTTCTATATTACAAGAAAAATGAGATTTTATATGAATGTGAACAAGGAGTACATTGTGAATAATAAGAATTGGAAGATGTTAGTGGCGAAGGAATATAAAATTGGTGGTCCAAGATGGCAAATGTCTCTTCAATACATCATCAGCTGTTGTAAGTAACCAAATATGTGGAGTGTTTCCCTTTAGTTTTAATTAACAGGGATCCTTTTGTAAGGACTTCTAGGGAACTAAACTCTGAGAAGTCAAAGAAAAGCTTGATAACTGAAGTGAGCTAGACTCTGAGAAGTTAAAGAAAAGCTTGATAACTGAAGTGAGCTAGACTCTGAGAAGTTAAAGAAAAGCTTGATAACT